CAGAATCCACACCTCAAACAAATGACATTCAGCGCAAAACTATAACAGCTATCTAAAAAATACGGCGTTTTTATGAGACCCAAGACTCTACCGAACGCGTGGATGTGTGTTTTATGTCTGTCCGGTAATAAATACGGCTCCTATGGCCGTTGACAAAACGTGTACCTTGTGGATTTTTGTGAGAAATATGTCGGCAGATTTGTATTGGAGCCTATGGGGCTTTTGGCAGAGGTTGTGTCACTCTAACACTCCTTGCGCCAAAACTAAAGAACTCTGGGATTCCATGAACGCATTAATCCAATCAGCACAACCATGCCCTCATTAATCTGAAGAAATGAAGCCTCTAGAGTGTATACTTTGGCTGCAAGGACAGAAGTTCCATATTTTTTTAACCAGATTCCTGCGATGCCCCACACTCTAGCCCTCGAGGTCCCCCTCTAGCAGACGCAATACACACTCATGTAAAAGTCAGAAACGGAGCTAAGAACTAGTGAAACATAATCAGTGATTATGAAAAAAGTACAATAGATATCAAGAAGCAGTTTTTTTCATAAAATAGTTGAGACCTATGTCAACATTTGAAAGTTTAAATGGTGTCTGTAGCTGAAAGATTGGCGAAGCTGAAGAATCTGAAAGTTGAAGAAGTTTAAGAGGATTTGAAAAACGATCTCCATTGGAAAACCATGTTAAAATATTAATGATTATAGATTTATATAAATTCAAGCTTAAGAGCTAAAAAGCTGAAAAGTCATAGCACCCCTCTCCTGAAGGAGCTGAATAATTTAATATTTGAATGGTTTTAATAGCTGAAAGTGTGAAGGAGTTGAAAGGCGGCGCGGAAGAAATAGAAGAATCATAATAATAAGTCGGAATAAAGATTCGAAGAACAATACTTGGAATGCATCTCAATGCATTCCAACAATAAGTTGAATAAAGATTCGAAGAACAATACTTGGAATGCTTAAAGCATTCCAACTAATAATAAGTCGGAAATAAAGATTCGAAGAACAATACTTGGAATGCATCGTTAATGCATTCCAACAATAAAGATTCGAAGAACAATACTTGGAATGCATCGTTAATGCATTCCAACAAAAAGATGTTGGAATAAAGATTCGAAGAACAATACTTGGAATGCTTAATGCATGCTTAATGCATTCCAACAATAAAGATTCAATGAACAATACTTGGAATGCTTAATGCATTCCAACAATAAGTATGTGAGATTACAAGGAGTTTGGCTCAGCTTCCCTGGCCACACTCAATAATGAGTATGTGACATTACAAGGAGTTTGGCTCAGCTTCGCTGGCCACACTCAATAACAAGATATGTTATATAATGTGAAATAATCCTCCTGATTTCATTTTTAAGACATGCGGGAGACAAAGCCTATTCCCTCTCTCCAGCTTTCATCTACCCGTCACGTCCTCCTATACCCCCTCAGTCCCCATCACAAACCACAGTCCTGGTCCCCCAGAGCCCGAGCCCAGACATTGTGTCTGCATTGAACAAAGCTATAGGCCAAAACTTCAGCTTCGAGCTAGAGGCCAGCTCCCACCAGATTGGACAGAGTGACTTGTAAGCAACAAATACCAGTACATTAGTCCTGGGAGTCTCTGAACTCAAATCTCAAAACTAATGTGTTTATACCAGCAGGAACAGTGATGGGGAGCAAAGACAAGAAAAAGAGAAATAAAATACTAAATACCATGATGATGATCTTCTAGTATCTAAAACAGCTTTGTTCTTATGTGTATTCCTGAGACAAAGACGCAAGGACCCGTGGACTGGGGGGCTGTGGGGAGAAATAAATACGAGATAAGAGAAAAATCAATTCATCTTAATGGTAGAGGATGTAAGGTAATATTTTTGTGTGATTCCGGAAACACACAAATCTTAACCTCAGAATGAATGAATTAAGAAAATAATTAAATACATGGGTTTATTAATTGATGAACACCATTAGGGTGAGACTACAAAGAAACACCAGCACACAGAATATCTGACGGTGCAATTAGGGATCATAGACCTAAAAAAGGGGTCACATCAGTTACACAAGAGCTAAAGGAAATTTATGAAGTAACTCCTCATACTGTGTAAGAGAATACGAATTGGAGACAGCGCAGTGAAATGTTTCTACAGAGAGATAATATATGCACAGGGATTCTTTAAAACAATGGTAAGAATACTAAACAAATCTTTGTTGAAACAACAAAGGGTTTAATAACGTGACGTGACACTGATTGGTGGGCAAATGTTGCTGTACGAGGGCAGGGGAAATCAGTGGGGGGCCAATAGGGCAGCCCGAAGGTTATTCCTCTTCTTTTGGAGTAACTCAAGCAAACCCCAAGGTTTAAATTACGAGAAAGAGAAGGATTATTGTTCTCAAGGAAGAAAATAGACCGAGGGTTTTCTCTTTAACAGTACGTAGTGTCAACAAAGTAACAACATATCTGATTTATACTTTTAGGAAGAATGTGAAATGTCATTGCTCTTATTATCCACAGCCAATATGACTGATGAAACAAATAAATGGTACAAATCCAAATTAAGAATATGATGGTAATGGCAGAAAATAATTGGATACAATGTAGCTCCAGTATGCTTAAGTCACAAACTAAGCGAGGGCTCTAACTTTTGAACTATTAGATGATGGGACTCATATTACCAAGCTTAAACCATTTGTTAAACCAAATGAAAACATGGGAGAAAACACCGCAGAGAACATTTCTGCTCAATGTTTTTCCCACACAAGCTGCCTGACGTTAACCGAAGTGGGAGGAGTTTTACAAATGCGCCTAAGCACACCAACAATGAACAAGCAGAGAGAGACCATCCTGGGGCCACCTCATGCAAAATCAGAATCAGAAGCCATTTATTGCCACATATGAAACACATTATGTTTTAGATTATATTTTTGATAAAATAAAGATTAAAATATACAAGCAAAAACAAACAGATAAGATACAAGAAGGTTAGCAATTGCCTGCAGGGGATTGCCCTTCTGATGACTCTTAGTTTTGCAGATACCTGACTCCTCTGAGGCGTGGCTGTCTAATGAGGTGGTGTCTGTAAGAGAGAACTCAGTGGTGGATCCACAATGCAATAACTGGTAAGCAATGGCCAGGCCGTGAGTCAATTTACAGGTATTTTTGTTTTTGTTACATTAATGGAAATAATAATTCTTTATAAAGATATGTCTATCTTTATAACGAATATAAAGATAGACATATATAAACACATTGCATTGCAGGTCATTTAGCTGGCGCTTTTATCCAAAAGGACTTACATTGCATTTTTAACCCATGGCTTTTTACATTTTTTCCCAAGGTGCAGTAATGTTCCACCTTTATCAGTATTACTACCTTAACCCCCTAACCCTAACAATATGCAAAAAGTCACCATATTGAGTAAATGATTGAGTAAATTAGTAAAGGATTCTACTCAACAAGTTCCTTCCCCGTCTTAGCTTGACACGCCTAGTGAGAGGGCGGTATGCGCTTGTGTTCATGACAACTAACCTCACACTCTAACCCACTCTGAAGACGAAGGTACCGCGTGGTTATCTCAAGGACATGGCGTTTGCGAGGTTATTGAGGACCTCCTCACTAATTGTCATCGGTATGTTACTTTCTTTTGTCCTTTGGGAAACTGCCTTAAACAGGCAGTCATCGCCTGATCTCCAACTACCACAGGAGTTCTCTGTAGACCTGCCTGGCTGCTTGGCTATAATCAGTGGAGACACAGAAGGCAGGAGAGAAGAACTAGAAGTCCTTGTGGCGTCCGGGAAAATAAGTATATTATCTGAGGACTTCTACCTTAATGTGACAAAGGACTGTCCATCCTACATTGAAAAGAGAGGTTTCATTACAGCACCGCTCAGTGAGGAGGAAGATAATTTTACCATCGCCTACTCCATGGTGATCCATGAGAAGATTGTGATGTTTGAGCGACTCCTACGAGCTGTTTACACTCCTCAGAACATCTACTGTGTGCATGTGGACCAGAAATCCTCTAAAGGATTCCAAAAAGCTGTGGAGGCAATTATTTCCTGCTTTCCTAACGTGTAGCCAGTAGATTAGAAAGCGTCGTCTTTGCCTCGTGGTCCAGAGTGCAGGCAGATTTGAACTGCATGAAGGACTTCTGAACTCACAGATCCAGTAGAAATACTTGCTGAACACCTGTGGGACCGACTTCCCCATCAAAAGCAACGCAGAAATGGTTCAGACGCTGAAGGCCCTCAACGGGAGGAACAGCATGGAGTCGGAGGTGACCGGCGACTACAAGAAAGTCCGTTGGCTGGATCATTACAACGTGACTGTGGTCAAGACCGATGTGAAGAATAGTCCCCCACCCATCGGCAGCCCGATGTTCAAAGGAAGCGCTTACTTTGTAGTCAGCAGAGCCTTTGTGGAACATGTGCTGCGGGACAGAGAGGTTTAGCAACTTCTGTAGTGGGAGAGGGACACATACAGCCCTGATGAGCACTTGTGGGCCACTCTGCAGCGAATGCCCTCCGTGCCCTGATCAGTGCCCGCCAACATCAAGTACAATGTGTCAGACATGCAAGCCCTCGCTCGAGCGGTAAAGTGGAGCAGTCTAGAAGGAGATGTGAAAAAGGAGCCCCGTAACCCCCCTGCATGGGTGCACACAGACGAGGTGTCTGTGTGCACGGAGCTGGTGACCTGCCCTGGCTCCTGAGACAATATCAACTCTTTGCAAATAAGTTTGATCCTGATGTTGATGATATTGCTATTAGATGTATTGAGTCAGTTCTGTGTTTGAAGGCTTCAGGCCAGGACCGACTGTAAACATGGATATGAAAACATTTTGTATATATTTTTATGTAATATATAAATACTGTAAAGCTATCATCTAGAAAATGTCTTGCTCAGAATTTCTTATAAAAATGGTTTTAATGGAATCTGTGTTTGGTCACCACACAAATGATACCTCTGTTGTTACCCCGGCATAAATGGAATGAAAAGATACAAAACAATGAGGTGGATTAATGGGTTTACTTGAAGAAAATGTTAAATTAAGACCTACATCTTTGCTTCAGATTTTTGCTGAGGGGAAAAATTTCCCCATGCAAAATTTTGATTGAGAACATCAGAAGTGAACATTGAAAAAAGGTGCTATGAAAACGTGTTCTATGAAATGATAGTGAACGAGTCAGACACCTACAATGTATTATACAAATCAGAGCAACCATAAAAATATATTAATTTCTCTCCATTGACACCCTTTGAATATAAATACATATTTAAATGTAATAAAGCAGAACATGCAGCAACCGCCTTAAATAATGTGCAGATACACCAGTAACACCCAGAAGATAAGTATGACATATTTCGGCAGTAAATATAAAATAAAAATATAGATTAAAAATGTTCCAGACAGCATGTGGGAAAAATGCTACAGATCGATCTGTAAAAAGTTCCACAGTGTGACGGGCAGCATAGTTTCAAAAAAGGCACATGATGTATGATGATGTAGAGTCGCGGCGGTCCGAAGCGTTCTCCTTGATCGCGGCCTGATGCTGACGGTCACTCTGGAACAGCGGCAGCTGCGATCTCCACTTTGCCGTGCATGCTCTAGTCAATTCTGCAGACAAATTCAACAGTCATCAGACCTCTGTGTGCCAGGGGTCGCATGTCTTCTATTATAGCGGACACTGCCCACAAACCCACAGTACATAGAATCACACCGTGAAATGTAGCCGTTGCACTTGTACCGTTAAAAAGGGAACTACTTTCTAGACTTACCATTACATTACAGGTCATTTAGCAGATGCTTTTATCCAAAGCGACTTACATTACACTTTAAACTCATGGCTTTTTCACATTTTTACCTGGGGAGCAATTAGGGGTTAGGTGTCTTGCTCAGGGACACTTCGACATGGAATATGGGGCAGCCTGGACTCGAACCACCAACCTTGTGCTTCCCAGCACACCTTCTCTAACCCCTGCGCCACGACGACCCCAGACTTGTGCTTTCAGCAAACACATGAATGCCTCGTTTTGTCCATGCCTTTTCTACTGAATGAAATTTAAATGCTTGGAGGTTCTCACTTCTGTTGACCAATGCAATAATGTATGCTATAAATCCCTGTTAGGGCACAGACTGCTCACTCTGCAAAATAGTGGTACAATAACAAAATGTATAAATAAATGTATTACACTGATATGTGAACAAACCGTTCATTCTATACAAGTGCAACCGTTGTGCAAGGTTGGTCATTACAGCCTGAGACAGCTCCATGGCAATGTGTGAGGCTTTAGTGCACCGGTTCTTAACTTAAGAAGAACCACCGTGCAACGCATTACACAACCAGACAGTGATTCAGTTAATACGTGTTGTTTTAATATGACACAATATCTCTGCAAACGAATAATCCTCACGCTACCTATCCGTACCGAGCAGAACGGTTCTGTGTGCTTGAGCAAGGTTGACAAAAGGATTGGGGCAGTAATTAAAACATCAGCAGGGAGTGGGTGTGCAGTGAGTCATGCGTAGAGCTGTGAGAGTGAACCGGGGCAAGTGTTTGGTGAGGGTGAGCTACTGAGGGGAGCCTTGTGAGGGCATGACAGCGGTGCAACCACGAAGCCACAGTGACTAAGACCAGCTGCTCCCTCGTAGTCCCGCCCCCAATCTGTCGTACAAACGCAAACAAACTTACCCAACATCACCCACAAAGCCTGTGTTTATGAAAGACACATGCAAGTTACTGCTACACAATGCCCCGACTTTAATATCAGAGAGAAGAAAGGAAATCATTTACCTTTAAAAACAATCCTGACTTTATTGACATAAATCAATTATTCAGCATCCCAGTGGAAACAAGTGCCTTGTGTTGAAGGATGGGCTTCAAAGTGCATAATGATAGCTGATGTTATTTGGAGGCAATACATTTAACAAGAAATGACTTTAAAAATGAACATCACATAATGGGCTGAGAAAAAATATGTAGTTGGTTAAACAAATCACCAGGCCATCTATTTTTGGGGAAACCAATCAAACAGCTCGTCAGTCTGCTTCTAAGGGAAATCTACTGTGAGAGAGATGTGGGATGTTGGGCAAGCTAGTTGTTGGGTTTGGCCGGAAGGGAAGAGCAATTTATCCTGGGACACAACTTGCACCTTGGTGCATTGGTGCGTTTCTGAGAGCGAACGGATCATTTCGTTGTTAGTTTTGTGAAGGAATGTCGAGTTGGATCCTGGGTGCAAGTGCATATATCTTTTACGGCTTTTACTATTTTTTTTGTTGTCAAACCTTAAGAGGGGGCAGGGAAGGAGAGGAGAATTACACAGCCAAAAGCAACCAGACATCCAAAAGAGCAAAAAACATTTGATAAGATTCGATTCGATTCGCATTTCTGACTTCCCTGAATCCCTCATGGACAGAAGACCGGCGGGTTAAGCCACATCCAGCATAAATACAGCACGAGCAATTTCTCAGCATGTGCGCTATAGTTAAGCATATCCGTACAGGTTAACAGTTGTTGAAACGCTGTAACACTCTCTAAATGAGCATTTCACACATGCTTTTTTGTTGCATATGGATCTCTACGTTCATGGGCAGAAAGTGCCCATGATTTGTGGAAATGATTAAGTCCTGTCCGGTAATATTGGGGCTTCGAACGCGAAGCTGAATGGTACTAAATTTGAGGCGAGTCAGACTCATAGCCATTGACACACAGCCTCACAGGAGAAGCCGACTGTTGGTGAAACAACACTTACAGATGAAACGTAACCAATACTTAACAGACGAGTCAGAGCTGACGCTGCGTATGCACAACACTGCCAGATGTTGAGAACCAAATACAGGAAAAACAGAGAGGCGCGCCAAAGGGTCTACATTTGTTTCAAAATCGATTCATTATGTTTGGAGAAAGTTGAGATGAAGCCTGTAGGAAGAGGAAGAGCTGGAAGGGGATCTCAGCAGATTCATTCATTTACTAATTCTGGAGAGCAGCCATGTATTGTTCCACTGCACAGCAGTCAAATCCGGAATTTCAGATGGAAACAAAAACAGTTTTGCTCCTACCTTCAACCAAGAACCAGTCTGATCGAATATGTAAAAATACAACACAGGAGTTACTACATGAACACCTTTTCATCACTCAGGTATTAAAAACTTCTTCTGATATAGCTTTGGATTTATTAGCTTAATACTAATTTTAACCGTTGTCTTAAATATTGCTGATACGTTTGAGTGGAGCGTACTTACTGTTTGATGCAATCTGGTATGGAAACATACTCCATCGGAACCAGTTCTCCAAGGTCTGTCAAGCTGAACACAAACTGGATTTTCTGACAAAATTTAGAACTGTGAAAAGAAGGAAGAAAGTGGAATTTTAACCGGAGAAGATCTTCATTTCCTTAAAATGAGCCTTAAACATTAGTTACCTTATGAAAGGCTTTGTGAGTGCCAGCAGCGTGCGAATAAACCAAGAAGGATGGACGATTATCAAAGACTTTAAGTTCTTCCGCAACCTGTACAGAAAGAGCGAAGGAAGCCGTCAACAACTTCATTACATATGATGATGACACTGCTGTTCTTGAGTTCTGCATATTGACTAAAAAGAAAAAAAGGACCCACCTCCTGTCAATCTGCTGATAACATTTTCGGAGCCAGCCAACTGTTGGCATCTTTTTCCGAGAGGTTGCCCCATTCAAATACACAATCATATAGTTCTCAGCGACCAAAAGCTCCAGCGTGCCAATGACATACCTGCAGGACACGGGAAACTTTTATTAGCACTGGTCCTAAAATGTTGTCTCGAAAACAATAGAGGACACCAAATAAACACTTACTTGAATAAGTTGTTCATGATGTATTTGTAATTTGGTTTATTGCTTTCAGGCATGAAGCACACAGCGAACACAATTATAGCATTCAGACCGTCTCCGTAGTAACCTAAAGTGAAGAGTCAAAACATGAAAAATTGACGTTCCACGATCCAAACAGTATTTCTTTTCTTCCTTTGAATTTTTGAATGAACACAACACAAACAAAACACAAATGTAACACAGCTTGTTCCTCAAAGAACGGCAACATACTTTAAGTTATTGCATATATGTTTTTGCCTATTTTTAAACGATAATGTAAACGTAATGCGACCGACCTCCGTGGCTGATGACCCTCTTGTAAGGCTCGATGGCCTTCATGTCCACGCGGTGTTCCTGGTCCCCGATGCGAAACACCCTCCAGCGCCGGCCCTCCTCCCTCTCCTCCGAGGCGGAGTACTCCTGCACCGACGCCACGCCCTTCTGAAGCAGCTCTGTGGCTTTCGGCTTAGGGAGATCATCTAAAAGGAGGAGGAAGCATTTTGAACGCACAGCTGGGACGCTACACCGCCTGGATATGATGGATGTCTAATGTGATCAAATCAGATCCACTGTGATCAAATCCTTCATCAAATGAATTGCTAATTTAAAAATTGAACTTTCAAAAAGCATGCATTTGAATCAATGAATATGCACATTGCTGTTTTTTATATTTTTAACTTTAGTATCTGCGTGGCATGCTTTCTCTTTGAATCAACACCAACAATGAGTCCGATTCACTTCAGGTACGAATTTACAGCTACCTGATACAGTTTCCTGTGGTGAAACCCTGCTAATGTTCCCCGCATGAGAAATAAAGTCAAGCAAACACTGCTGAGAGCACTTCTGTTAATCTTATGTAGGGTGTATAGGCAGCAGCATGACCTGCACAAATGATCACATATCAGGGCATGCCAAGTAGAATGAGATGAAGGCTAAATTCACTGGGCGCACATGTTTTATGCTTTATTATAACTTCCTGAGATTGTGTCATCTTGTAAAATATGAGACACTGAAACACTAGTAATCAAACTGGCCATGTTACCAAATGTTGACATTGCAGAATTGATTATTTCCTCAAAACGCAAGAAAATGTCAAAGAAGGAAAAAAATAACATGCATAATGAATAGTTTAAAGTGCATTAAACTGAAAGTGAAAATCTCCCCATGATTTGTTCAAACAACTCAAGACAGAATATAATCTGGACAATAGGAGTAGATTGACGTATGGTTGGCAGAACAAAATGGGGGATGTCCAGGAGACCTTACCACGAGGAAGAGAGAGAAACCGGTTGCTGGCCTGCAGCCTGTTTCCAGGCTGAGAACGGAAACAACTCTTCCATGTGAAAAAGAGGATGGCAGTGTGGAAACACAGAAACAACAAAGCACATTAACTGCGCTCTAGGCAATCCGCTTCCCATTCAAACCTGCACAATCAAGGACAGCAGATACAGGTAGATCCTGAGAAGGAGAATGTTCACATGGCTAAATTACACATCGCTGGAGTGTTCTTGCATCAGTACCGAAACATCATCGCGTGCTATAAAGTGCTTACCTTCCCACTCAAACTCATTGCTATTGTCCGATGGTGTGTCAATGTCATCGAGGTCCAGCTCTGTACTTTCATCCAGCTCGTCAGAGAGAAGAGAACCTTCGCTGTGGTCGAGTGTGAGACTGATAATGGGGGCTGCGAGCTTCTTCTTCACGTTCTTGCCGTGTCCCTTTGCATAGCCTGGGGTAGATGGAAAATGGTCGGTGGTTATACTGTTTTGGGGCGGCCCCCGATTTGTCAGGTTTATTATAATACAATTCTGTAGATCCCACAGAGTGGGATATGATTCAGAGAGGCTATGATTCAGTCTGAAAAACCAAGTGGTATCTTCTGGTATCTGGTATCAGTGTTAGTTGCATCGGTACCAAATCCCCTCTTTGTGTTACTTTACTCTGGGGAAAACACTGTCTGAGAGGATTCGCTAAAAGAATATTTAGAAAGATAAAAGTCCCCCATAATCATTTTTGCTGAAAAAGAAAGCTGCAGCAGGATTTCGGTGACTTTCTCAACACACGGGCATGCGGGTTGTGACTGAGACTTGAAAAGACGTGTTATTCAATATTGTAAAGTAGGTATCTTTTCAATGTCCTGTTTTCATTACCAGGGTCTATTTCTTCAGAAGCTCCTGCAAAAAGTTCATGTTCAAGCTCCTCTTCCTCGGGTAGAGGCCTAAAAAAACAGCAGGGGATCATGCCTTCAGAAAGATGATATTCCTTGTGACTTTCAATGGACAACATAATAGAACCATGACTTATACGGGATTTACAACATTACGAGTGATTGATAGTACCGTGGAAAGTCCTCATCTTGCCACTCTTCCTTTAGTTCAACTCCCTCCAGTCTTAGGCGAGCTTCTGACGTGGCGACTGACTCTTGACGCTCTAGGCTGTAAATGGGAATTCAAAATGGTTATGCCATCTTGTTTAGTGGTTTCTAATTGTGAAAAGGCCTTCTTGTATTACAAACATATTATGATCAAGGGCAGAGGAAGCACAGATCATCTGGGACGAACCCAACCACATAACTAGTTGTCCAATGCCAGCTGCTTGTGATTTGTACAGTCCTCAAAGGATTATGGGTAAACATCAAAACCGAAGTCAATGGCTTTTTGTTTTTCGAAAACAAAAACTAAGTGAGTGTATGTTAATGGTGACTGATTAAACATTAGAATAAAATGAATACACTTGAACACAGATGCAGAAAACCACGGGTTTTTTTGTTTTGTTTAACTCTACAAACAAACAACGGAGGGTGGGGATATCCATGTCCTGAATAGCAAAGAGAACGTTGAGAAAACGTAACAAACACTGGAACTCTTGTAGCAGGAGATTGCGTGCCATGTGTTATCAGCCGAAACCAATACAGCCTTTTAGGATGGACACCTCAGCCTTCAAGCGGAGGCGGGATATGCTTGCTGCCTATTGTCCTATGAACCCGACACTCTGGTTCTTTATAGACGGGGGCTTTGCGATGCCGTGCTGATCAATATAGTTTGCGGTCCTGCAGAGTCGTTCCGCAGGCCCTGAAAGTTCCAGTTTGCAACCTGCCAGTGGCCGAATAATCAGATCGCTGGCTTTCTAAAAAGCTTACAAGCCTATGTTGAGGGCTTAGTTTACAAACCATAAGGCCGCTTACTAATAAGATCGTGGTATCTGTATCTCTGCTCTACTGAGCTCTCTTTGATACACTAATAACATACAAAACTACATTTGAGCTCCCAGACGCAAAAACATGCTGGGCATTTGGCACTACATTTCAGAAAGTTTAGCTGTTTGCTCACGCATGCGTGCAAATCCCCACATTACATTAGAAAAAAAAAGTTGAATGAAAGTTTTAAAACTACTCTCAGCATCCAGTGGGGGTTGATTTAAGCAGCACATCCGAATTTTAGGTTTGAACCAAGAGGTGTTTTATTTTATGTCACCACAGACATTGTTTACTATCACCTAAAAAAGGCCGCAGAGAATAACCAGCAAAACATAATGTTAGAAATAACCATTCCCGGAGCTTATAGCTCCAGACTTTTGTTTACATTTTGCCAGAGAAGTGTTGACGTTGCTTTACCAGAACTTCTCCTGTTGTTTTTGTGGGTACAACAGCTCTATGTTCTGACTATTACCGAAGAGCTTCATTCGGGGAGCGTGAAACAAATTCGGCCATGTGGACAAACATCAAACAGTAACGGGTACAGACCTTCCGATGGGCCCGGGAGGTGATCGTGGCTGGGGGAGGCTGACCGGGGAAGAGCTCCTTGCTCCCCGCCGCCGCTGCTGCTGCTGCTGCTCGTTGTCCGGACTCGTCCTTTCCTGTGGCGCACCTCTGGTTTCGCTTAGAGCCTCTTCGCCATTTTCAACCGCGGAAGCGGCGCTATTCCCCAATTCGTCCGACTGCCCGACATCGCCTTCTCCTGACACCCCAGAAGACGAGCGACTAGACGTCCGTCCGGTACCCGGCCCCCCGTCAGTCCCCCCGGGTGTGACTGGATCTGGGCTCCTTTTGTTCAAATCCACGCCGCTGACACCCTTCAGCACCGCTTCGCTCTCGAGCACATCCGATGCCATGGTGGTCGCCTCAGCGTCCGACGATGACACGTTAAAACGCCGGCTTGTTGCTTGACTCAACGTTGAATAAGTCAAGATACACAACTTCTTAGAAAGCTGTTAGCTAGCGTGCTAAGCCCTCGGTCGCAGTGTACCGCTGACCAGGAGGCGTGTTATTGTTGTTGTTGACAGTTAACATAAGTAACGCCAACAGCATCCGCATACAGCAAATAGTGTTAAATGTCACACAGGGTGCACGGATAGTCACCTTCTTCTAAATGCGTCACGTTGCGGGGACTCGGGAGACACAAAATATTTGCTAGCTCTGCATGAGCAACAGCGCACAGTGATCCTGCTTATGAATTTCCTCCCTTGCTTCCTTCCTTCCTTCAAGTCAGGGGCTTCTCCTGCGGACGTTACGTTAGCCACGCTAGCGTAATTTTTATGCTACAGTTAGTTAGCTGACTGATTTAGCCACAGCGACAGACAAGCTAACGTTGTCCACTTAACACTGAAAGTTACTTTATACAATCGAGCCGGTTGTCGACTACGACACGAGACAAGGACGAACGATACATGGATGTATGTGAAGCATAACGACGGTATCCGCTGTTCTCACTAGCTGGGTCCAGCGACAACTTCCGTTGTGCTTTGTGGCAGCGCTAGCGTGAGAAAATGCTAGCTAACCGGAGCTAACCTAGCGGCGGCGAGCTAATGCTAGCCGACCGGAACTAACCTAGCGACGGTGAGCGTGCTGCTGTTGTGTTTACTGTCGGTTCGTATCTGGACTTTCTACCTCCACCAATCAAGTGCAAAAAAAATCAAGCTAATTTTACATTTTTTTAATTAAAATGAATAATTAAGTTAATTTCCTCATCTTACATTATTCAATTTGAGTTAGATTCGTATGTAAATGTAACATAGTTAGAATGGATGGTGAAAACCCTTCTAAATTGGCTGAACTACGCCATCTACTGCCACAAAGTGGTACACAAACGGACCGTAAAAAGGAAGGATTGTTGGTAATCCTCAGAGAAATGGAGGATTAAAAGAAGGTAACGTGTTTTTTTTAATGTCCGTGGAAAATGTTTACTGATTTCATTCATGGTGTAGCTAGCTTTATTATTTTAGATGTCCGTTGTCTTTGTTTAAAGTTGCCATGTTTTTATTAAGTTAGTAATATGTTTATTGTCTGTAACAATGTCCGTTTTTTAGCTAGCTAAGATCGATTTTATGTCGTCCTTCTATGTCCACAATTTCCTTTTGTGTCCGTTGTACTTTATAGGTATGTTATGTTGTGTTAAGTTGACTAACTTGTATATATTTTTTGTTAATATGTTTCATTTTATTGCCTGTGTGGTCAAGTTCTGTTCTAAAACTATACAATCATTGTCTATGTATTTTGTGGGTAATCCTCAGAGAAATGGAGGATCAAAAGAAGGTCCACAATTTCCTTTTGTGTCCGTTGTATTTTACAGCGTATTTTACAGAGATTAACAGCTCCAGCACAACAAATACAGGGAAAGCAGATACGAATACATACATAATATTGCTTGAACTGTAGGTGTCTGTCATGTGCTTTACATTCCAGACTTGAATTTTCCTTTAACTTTTTTGGAAACAGTGATTTCCCTCAAATCGTCTATAGATGTTTACTTTCTATCTGTAAAAAAGCTGTTAAATTTTGATATCACAAATATGGATAATGTCTATTTTGTATTTACTGTAAATTGTTAAAAATTATGTTATTACAAAATACAAAATAAAATGTTGACCGTTCAACACCCTGCTCAATTTGTATGTATTTCTGTTGATAGATTTTATTTACAGTATGTTGAAATATATGCCACCTCAAACCGATGTTGTGTAATAAACCCGTTTTCATTGAAAAGTTGAAATACCCTTTAACAATATCTCTGAATTGGGCGAGGTGTCACTTTGTTATTAGCCTAAAAACAAAGTGACACCTTTACATTCTAACTATCATATCAGAGTGCAACTGCAGAAGATAAGAACAGACGCATTAAAACAAATACAAATCCTTTACAGTTAATACATATACATAGGGTGTCATTTTGTCACAATTTCTTTGCGTCCCTATATTAATTTACGTGAATGCAATGAATGAAAGTTTTGCTTTGATGTCTGATGATAGAAACGCAATGTGGTAAAATGAGGGTTATAGTGGTTATTCATGAATAGGAGGTCACATGCTACTTTTCTATTTCAGGAATCTTTCAGCTGCTAAGGGATTATCAGATGTAACATTAAAGGAGGAAGGAATTAAGTGATTATTATTATATTATTATTATTATAACAATATATATTCTTCTCTTAGGTAATGTTAGTTTGAATGAACATGCAGCAGTACAGCATACTGTCAGTAATAACAAAATCATCCCATTAGAATATTGTTTGGTTTATTAAACTGGGTCAAAATCAGATTTTTCATCAAAAGCAGTTACTTTTTCCAACCTCGGTGACATTCAGTAATATTTTCCACTAGGTGGAGGCATATACTTATATACATTTTGCAGTCTCTGGGACGACTTTATTGATTTAACATCCACCATAGCTCAAACTCTCTTGAAGAGCAAACTCAACCAGAGTCGGAGTCGGAAACGCAATGAGGAACGATTTGCCATTTGCAATTAAATAAAAACGTTACGTTTCCAGATAACTCCCAATGTATCTGAATTTAGCAATGACATATTGATAGCTGTATAATAAAATGAATATGGCAAAATTTTAACTTCCAGGCCTGGTTATATCAATTGATAATTTGGGAAGGTAAAAGATATGTCATTGTATTTAATTTGAAGAGCTTTAACTCATTTTCAAAGTAAAAGGAGTCAAATGCGCAATAATTTCTCTTTCGTTATAATACCTTTTACCTCATGGTTAAAAAAAAACTGAAAAAGAAAAGCCAACTATAGATCAGACATAATGACGCTGCATGGTTAATACCTCCTCTGTGTGCAGCGGATCATTCAGTGTAATTTCTAATTAACACGTTTCTATTTACTCTGTTGGATCATTAGGCCTCATCACAAAAGGATAATCCAGTCAAATTCAGAGTTCATGCTTCCTTTCCACTATGGTGCTGTTTGCTAAGGAATCATGTTGTAATTATCTAACAAATTAAGACAAACGTTTAGCCACGATAATGTATTGAGCCAGTCTAGCATTAACACGTATAACACAGACGGAAAGCTGAGGTTCCTTCTCCATTGAATTTCACCACTGTGCTCAAATGTAACAGCAGGAATAACAGTGGGATTTTTATCAAGCATACCTCTTGTCTTAATAAACTACATTTTTCGAATTGTATGAATTGATATTGGAAATTAAGAAATGACAATAAGAACCCTTAGTTTGTTTTAGCTAAATTCCAACCAGCATACGACCAAAAAGCCCGTGCAAATAACCTTAGTTCAAGAACTATTTTAAGGTTTTTTCCCCATTGTTCAATACGGTAAACCTACGTGATCAATACAAGGAAGAGTCAAGAGAGCCGCTTCTGTCGTTGGCACATCTTGACTGTTGCCAGCTAGTGGCTTTAAACAATAAAGTACCATTGTCTGATACCTCCTTTAAATATAACACAAGCTTTCCACATCTCAACACAGATGCTGTGGCAGCCCCTCTTCCCATGATGAAAGGAGGGATGAATGTTGGGATCAGAGATGGAAGCTGTAACCTCTTTGTGAAGCAGAATCATTAGGAGGGTTCTCCAACCAATTTCCATAAGTGGAATAGCGGGATGTAGGCTACTCGAAGTATATCACTAATGAGAAAAGACAAAAAGGATTCATGTGCATGTTTTATTCAATCTCTTTCTGGGTGTAGATGAATAATTATTTATGATTGCAAAGCCTAAAAGGGAGGCAAAAAGATAGCAACTGCAAAGAGACTAGTAAAAAATTTAAAGAGGAAGTTAAATGAATATTTAAGGCAAGATGAAATATTTATTGGAATCAAATGAGCAAAACATTTAAAACGGCACGATAAATAGTACTTTAAGAGTTTATTTAAGAGGGTCATTTGAAATGACCCTCATTTGAAATGACCCTCTTAATTGTGCTATTTGCTGCAGTAGCCATGAGGTCTCGTTCATACTCAAAATGGTGCAAACTGAAGACCGATAATTGTTTTTCAACATGCCACTCATTATATCAGGACATTGTGTCTAACCCAGGGCTGACCTCATGGCTGAGAAATATTAGCCTTTGATTCTGTGGCGTTTTATATTGATGCCACAAAGCAGAACAATTTGGGATTTTTATTGACCTTCAAGTTCGGGTTGCGAAAAGACATGTGACAAAAGTAATTTCTCAAGCGACATTCAGCGTCAGGTTTTATGATAACATTAGTGTTTCACTGTGTGAACCTCACAGTACATTCTGTAACATTTCACCCACCGAGATTAAAAATAAATAAAACAATCTGGAGTATCCACCAGCTTAGTTCATTTGTTTTCCAAATGCGAAAATGATTAAATCAGCAAACAAATAATTATTCAAGTCAATGAGAACAATTATCTCAAAGAGGCCTCTGAGACTTGGATGTGCATACTGAATTGATTAATTATCCTGCTAAAGATAATTGAGCCTTTCCATATTCACTCGTGATTGACACCGTTTAGATGATTCAGTCAGAATCACAGGGCTCTTTCTTTCCTCCGTGCACCACTGTGCTGTTTTCTGATTAGGGGGAAGTTCATGAAATATATATCTTTGTATTGGTATACTCAACTCCATAGAATGGCTCTTTCCGATTTAATGGCGAGATGAATTAAGGCGTTGACATATTAATCAGAGCGAAACATAAGAAGCCAATTGTCACTGTCAGACCAGCTGAAGGTCATTTCAGCTGTTAAGGATCTGCTTGCCTTAGTGTCTAATAGTTACATCCAATGACTCGTTTACATGCGAGATCAGCTTGATATTTTATGTATAAGCACATATTCTGTTCAAGGCCTTTTATTCTATTAACCTGTCCCGTCTTTATTGGATCGTTTCTAAGATAATTCCCACATGGCTTAGCCTTTGATAAATATGCTTTTAGGTCTGTCTAATTAATGCATTCCGCTCTGGTTTTCTTCACTTGTCACCCACTCTTTAACCTCACAGCAAAGGAACAGACTTTTCCTACTCAAATTAAAGGTCCTGGGAGACGTTGTACATTTGTGAGCTAATGATGTAGCGTGCGCTGTGCAACATGATATCTTATCTTGAGGGCCTTGTTGAAATGTTTTTAGTAGAAATGAAATGTATGACCTCACTACTATGGAGTGTGGATATATTCCAAGCAAATATGCTTTACTCTATTGTGTCTATTCAGATTTGTTTCACTTTGATTGTTCGGTGAATTCAAAGTCTGAATAGTTTGCGGGACAAACCAAATATTTAGCTGCATGATATTTGTTGAAAAAAAATGGTTATAAAGTAATTAGGCTACGCTCCTGTCGGCACAGACCGACAAAGACATGGCCGGTGTCGAGACGGCGTTTTCTGAAGGGACGCAGGAGGATAGGCCTCCACCAGCCAAGTCTACCCTTTTCCAAATTAATTAAACCACCAGCATTTCTAGATGTCCTACTCAATTCTTCTTTTTCCCTGCCAGCATGAATGCAGTTTCCAGCCACGCGGCCGAGGGACCATGCATATGTGTAATGAACGGGGTAAGGTGGTG